ATTATGTTGAACCGATAAGACTAGAGGGATGACAGCCAGTCAACACAACGCACTGAAAATGTTTGAAAAAAATTTTCTTATATTACTTACCAACAATATAATCATAAGTAAAGACATAAATGGCTACACAGTACTACACTAATATAAAATCTAACTGGTTTAACTGCTACTACGACTACATTTTTTAGAATATTGTTCTTTCATGTACAACAATAAATAAACTATGTTGATAGTTGGGTGACCACTCCAACATGAGTGTCTTATTCATCATTCACAATCCTGGAACGTTAAGTTTGCCACACACTATTAAGTTTTCTGAATAGTACTTTATCAAGACATAAAAGATATTGGTTTTATTATTCACTAAATAATAAACTAAGAAAATCGATATAAGTGTAATAGTACTGTCTGTTGTATGTCCATGTAAAAACTTCGCAGGGTGTGGATGGATCTTCACCAATATTGGTATGGAGGTTCATTAGGTCCATGTGGGGGTACATAAAAACTTTTGTTTTTTATGGGCATTTTTTTACCACTATTTCACCCTGTTGATGGATCTTCACGAAATTTGGCATGAAAGTTTTTTGGGTACATGCGGAGATACATGCAAATTTCTAGTTTCACATTTTATGTATTGCAGTTTTTATGGGAGTTTTTGCATTTTTTTCAATTACATATAAGGGAAGCAACTTTTCATATCCTAAGATAACCTTTCATTAATCATGAATTTTACATAACTTCCACCCGGGGGACGGGTACTCCAGCTAGTCTTACAATAAATTAGGTGTACAACAATTTTATAATGAATATGATTAAACCTATTTATCATGTCGTATGGCACTTAGCCTATTTAAAATGATTTAAATCATAAATACTTAGATAACCCTATGCATCCGACAGGAGTCAAAGTGCACATCATGAACTTTAATAGAGTTAGATTCAAAATTTAATTAAATAACTTTATTATCAATGTATGTCAATAAACTTGGCAAAAAAAGCAGTTTGTAATTCAAATTTTAATGTTTAAATTTCTAAATTTCAAAAGGAGATATTTAAATGAATTTAAATCTCTGTATCATATAACACTTCTCTGCTCCAAACTGCACATTTTAGATAATTTGTCTGCCCCTAATTGTTATAGGATACTGTATGCTTTGTGCATGTTAATATTTTGTGTTCTAAACTGAATGTTTCAAATAAATAAAAACCCAAGCAAAAGTTACGGTTAATTTTTACAGACAGACTAAATGTAAATGTTTATGTATATTCTTTATTTCTTGTACCTTAAATGTAAAAATTTAAAACTTATTAGGTTAGATAAGAACACATAAATGAATATAATTAAATAGAAAGTTTTTTCTACAATGTATGTATACAAGAAGCTTGTGGTGTCAAAATGAGTGACAATGAATATTTATTAAAATTGGCATATAGTGATTGGAAAAGATTATATATTGGTCAATGTGCACTAAACACAACTGAGTCAGACATTGAGATATTAAAAAAAAAAGTTTCAATGCTAAAAAAATATGATAAGCTTAATTCAGAAAGAATGACCAGATTGATGTTCTTTGTATTGAGCTTGATTGGTCAGCATCAATAGCACCTAAATTTTTTTCTACTGAGCTTTGACCCGTGGACTTACTTGTCAGATATTTTTTCCAATCTAGATTCAATTCAAAACAGAGTAAAGAGAAGTCTACCAATAAGATTAACAATGAATAATAAGCATAATGTGGTATGTTTAAATATCAGAAATATTAGGCATAACACTGATGATGTATTAACTCAATTTATTTTGTTTTGATAAAAAGCCCCCACTCCCATTATTAAATTGTAATATCGATTTTTTTGGTAGACCCTCTAGGCATGGAGGTGGTATTGTTATTTATTCTTGACTTGGCCCAAAGTATAAATTTAATCTTAACCCTGCTATTGTAACTGATCATATTGTGTAGTTTTAATATTAATGAAGTTTATACTTTTTATTGTATTTATCACACACCCTCTGGAAACTGGTGTGATTTTGTGGACACATTTGGTTTACTAGAAGACAATATGAATTATGATAATTCTGTGTTTTTTATGGGCAATTTTAATGTGATATTTTTCAAATTTACTCAGACAAGTGAAGATCAAATGCGTGTTTTTGAATTAAATAATTTGATGTCTGTTGTAATTGCTAAACCATGTATTTATCAACCTACTATGGTTATTGGTGCAGCTGCATCTACAATTTATAATATTTTCACAAATGTTGATGATGTTGTTTCTTATATCATATGTTGTGACATTTCAGATCATTATGTCCTATCTTTATCCTCTGTTGTCTCTACTATTCCACCCAAGTTTATTACTATTCATAAAAGACTGATAATGCTGACACTCTTAAGAGTTTCACTCATGCTTTGAGTAATTTTGATTGTAACCCTATAACACACAAGGAATCTGATATTGATTTGGCTTTTTCCTGTTTTGTCAAGTAGTATTACAAGCTATATAATTAATTTTTTCCTTTTACTAACGTTCTTAAATTGAATAATGATAGCCATTCTCCTTAGATGACCACTCCTTTATTACATATCATGATGCATAAACAATGACTGTATTGTTGCCTTAAACTAACTAGTAATCTATTGACTTATAATAAATATTTGGAGCTCACAGTGCTTGTTAAAGATCAAGTTGCTGATCATAAGGCTAGGTATTTTAATAGTTTTTTCAGGATGAGGACACTCATCGCACATGGCGAACAATTACTAAACAAATGGGTAGGGCCGGGAAAAGTAAAGCAGAGATTACACGTGTTTACAACAACTTGGGTTCTATTGTTATTGATCCTACTTGTACTGCTGATACTTTTAACAATTATTTCTCAAGACTAGGTGTTACTCCTAATAATATCAAGTGAAGATCAGCCTGTAGTTCAGTCTTTTTATCTTTCCCTGTTACCATGACTAAAATTCATGCAGCCATAAAGACACTACCTAGTCAATATTCTGCCAGATGTGATGATGTATTACTCTCAGTGGTAAAGTCTACCAGTGATCCCATTATTAACTCATTATCTATATTTGTTAATAATGTATGTGTTACTGACAAATTTCAAATGTTCTTAAAATTGCAATTACAAAACTGGTGATCCTGACCAGGTTGAAAATTATCAGCCTATTTCTATCCTATCCACATGTGCTTGTATTGTCAAGCACATTTTGTATCATCATATCATCAAGTTTTTTTAAACCAACAAGGTTCCAAGAAATTTGCATGTTGGTTTTAGCAAACACCAGTCTTCTCAAAAGCATCTTACTGGCAATCACTACAAAGATTATTAACCCTATGACGATGAACAACTAGTTTTGTAAATAGGTTATATAACTCTCATGAACGTTGTTTATAAAAATGAAACTAATGGATGAAATTGTTTGAAATTTGACACGAACTTCCTAAAAGTATGTAGTTTCAGAAAAATAAAATTTAACTTAGATTTTTTCTACTATTTAATATAAAATTTTTACTTAATGTAGTTATTTGCACTCAGACTCTGAATAGTTAACATGCAAGGTGATTTTTGAGTATAAAAATACTATTTATTATCGTAAAGTTTTCACAATTCATTTGTCAATTCTCTAGAACCTCCTAAATGAATATCAAAATTTTTTTTAAGATAAATGTTTATATTTTATTTTCCGTTTTCTCTACCATATCACTAATTTTAGCTATTATTATCAACGTACAGTGCATTGACATAATTAAAACTAAGAAATGTAAATATATACATACCTGTTATCTCTTTATTGAATCAGCTTATATATATATATATATATGTTTCTTTCCATATTTGTAATTTCATATTTGTATCTTTTCACTTATAGTTTATTTTTAAAGTTTTATTTTCCTTTCCAATTCTTTGTCTTTCATCATTTATGCCAAAATGTCACAAAGTGCACGCAGCCAATTATCACATATCATTGGGGAATGATGCATTGTTGTGGGCAACATATTCTGCTCACGTCCTTTGTTTACAAGTCATTATGAGAGAGGAGATGAATAAGTAAACCAGTAAACTTATAAAAATCATTAAACCTTTCAAATATGAATTTTTAAAACACAAATAATACATTATTAACTAAAATATAAAAGTGAAACCTAAATGCAATTTAACTGTCTATCAATCTAACATGTATAAGGTGAAAAAGTAAAGCCAAACGCTAGGGACCCTGCTCTCAACAATCGAGTAAGTTTCTTTTATACCTCGTATGTTCAAACCCATACACTGCTAATGTCTCTTGGGCTAGTTAGCTAAATAGCAGGAAATCTGCTCTTTCTATTGGTTATAAGCATGCCATTCAACTTAAACAGTCACTTAGCAACTGAGCTTTTACTTTGAAAGTGGGCGTGGCTTATCTTTGACTATGAAATTTTCAACAGTCTTTTCTATGACTCTAGTGCCATGAATGTCTACATTCTCACACTTGTTTCTCTTAAATAGCTCTAAAGTTGAGATTTTTAACCACAGTCACAATACACGCTGAAGTTTTAATTATTGTTTTAGAGGTTTCTTTTGAAATAAAGGAATAAAAACTTATTGAATATAAAACTTTGAATTATAAGATACTTGATAATACTAATTTCATTAAAATACATTTACAGTAAAGTGGTTTAATTAAATTTTTTTGTAATTCAGTAACATGCACAGAATGGAGTTTAAAAATGGCCTCATTTCTATAGAGTTAAGCTACTATTCACTAACAAATAAAGATTTTTAAGGAATTTACAGGAAACTTCTGACTGATTACAGTGATGTCAAATTGCTGAAACTTACATTACCAAGAAATATCTTATCTTTCTATATTTAATTCATCACTTCCTTTTTTTAGGAATATTTACTGATATAACAAAGACTTAAGAAGTTTTAAAATACATTCACAACTTAAACTAATTGAAAATAATCTGTTCAATTCCAAGTAAAATATGTATCACTGTTTATTGCTTATTACCTCAGAGCATCCGAATGGAATGTTGCCAACATAGAGACGACGAGCTTGTCTAGTAATAGTGCTCCCTACAACAGGTACTGGTGCCATCCCTGGAGCTGCTATAAGTGTTGCAGGAATCTGGCCAGCGGCTTAACAGAGATACAATTACAAATAATGTGTTTTAGTACATGTAAATATTACATAAATTTATTCACATATATATATATATATATATAATATTTTGTTAATACAAACTGACCATCTACTTCCACTACTATGCAGTAAAAAAAAGGAGCATGGCTTCTCTGGTAATGTATTTATTTATTTTCCTAAGGACTGAAAAACTACGAATTTATCATTAAACATACTCCAGAATTAATGTAACTAAACTGCAACTGAATCTGATGACAAACAAACTCTCTTGCATAGTGAATCTGTTAATCAACAGACTGAAATCGCAGCTCAACATAATTAAATATATATACGTCAAATACATACAGTGAAAAATGTCAAATGAAACAGCAATGTTACCTTGCATTGCTTTATACTGAAGGGGTGTGATGTGTTCAAATCCAGCTGGTGGTACATCCCAATAAAGAGATATATTCTTTCGTCTTGCTTTCTTCTTTTCTACACCAAAACTGTATATAAAAAAAGTGAAAATAAACCAACCAGAAAATATAATGTCAAAGAAAATGGCAGTTATAAAATTTTATAGTTCAGATATCAACTTAACTCCCTGAAAAATTCAAAAATTTACTTTTGCCTGAGATTTTGATTAGCCTACTAATTTTGAGAAATATGTACCCTTTTATGTATTTCATACAGATCATTTATTAAAAAAACTGTATTTTTACTGTTTCATTGCAAAATAAAGATAAACTTGATACTCCTCATCTCTTCTGAAACTTATAATTTTCAAAATGATATACTTTCAAAAGTATAAGAGACCATTTTGCTAACTTTAACATGTACGAATGCATTTACTTCTCTTATTGCTTATTACCATTTTGTCTTCAAGTAGATTAAAAAGACATTATCCCAGTGTTAAAACTGGTATTAAAATAATAACAAGAACAATAAAATATAATGTTTATGGGTCTCATAAAAAAAGGGACATTTCATCGACCTGCTGGCTTGATCTGTGACAGTATCTTCTTTGACAAGACTGTTATAAACAAAACTATATGCCGTGCACAATTACTAAAATTAAAATAAGCATAAAAACTTCTTTCCTAGCAAAGAAAAATTGATTATTTATCCTTTCTGAAATACAAATTTACTTCAAGTTATTATCATTATCTTACCTCTTTTACCATTATATTTAACTATTAGATGGCCGTTGAAACAATTCAATGGCAATTTTCCTAAAAACAGCAATGAATAAATATAAAATGTACAGTCAACTCAATCCTTGAATTAGAGTGTATATGCAATATGATTGTCCAGTGGAGCATTTACAACCACCTTTCATCGTTCTATGTGTTATTTCAACAACAAAAATTGCATTGAGTTTGTTTGTAAGCAAAGTAGACTGACTGAAATGCTCTGTTGTCAAAAATGTTTGTTTTCCAATGCATTGGGTACTTTTAGCACAATAGAGCACTCAGGTTCGCTAAGTAGCTGTGGAAATTTTTTCTGTTTGATACCACCATTCCTTGTCATTTTACTGAGCACAAGAAGAATGCTACCAAAGTGAGTAGTGTTTTTTTACAGTTGTCATTTCGGTGTCCCAGGGGAGATATTCTATTCAAATCAATTTACTTGATATGGTACATTAAAAATATGCATGTATGTAATACTGACATGAAAGTAAAATAAATATATAAACCAAATAATAACTCAGAAGTATTCTTCTCTTTTATACACTTTTCTGTTCATGCTTCTATCTTAAAATATTTCTTTCAATCAGTCGAGGGGAAAGTCCTGTTTTTTTGTGTGTGTGAAATTCCCTCACAAAAAGAAACATTCTTGTTCTTAATAAGTTTTTTTCTCAGATTGACCTTTCAGCACATATGAAGACTGATGGATCAATTTGATACAAATTAGAAATTTTAGGAATTGCAAAAAATTAATAATTTTTCTGTAATGTACTCTTGAAAATAAGAATTTTGATTTACAATTTTTTTTCCTACAGTTAGCCATCCAGAAGATATAGAGTGTGACTGACAGAGATAAATACAAACAAATGCAGGTAAACGTCGGGAGTAACTATGACTCTTAAGGTAGCCAAATGCCTAGTCATCTAATTAGTGACACGCACTGTCCCTATCTACTATCTAGCGAAACCACAGCTAGAGGTTTGCTGCAAAGTTTAGCACATTAACCCTAAGGAGACAGGATCATGCATTTTACACGACTTTGTAACCAACATTAAAACTCCATCTATGAAACTACTTACTGTATCTTTACAAAATTTGGCAAGCTTTTACTAAACACAAAAAATTAAAATTTTTCAATTAAGTATATTTACTAAAAATGTGTCCATGAGTATAGGGAATCATGGTGTTGAATGATCCAAGTTGCAAACTCATTTTCATCTTAAGATTAAAAACATTTTCTTTCATCTGAAAATTTTCAAATTTCATTTGCATAACCTCTAAACCTTCTGAATAAATATCAAACATTTTTATTTATAATTCATCTGTTATCTTCTCAACCCTCATTGTCTCTATACAGGTTTGGTCAATTTGACCAACCTCGTAACCATTAAAAGGAAAAAAGTTATAAAATAAATCTAAATTACTTTTTTTTTTATTTTTTAACAGTTCTTTAC